AGGTCGCCGTGGCCCGCGGCCGCCCTGCCGCTGTGCGCTCTCGCGTCCAGCTCCTTCGCCCGCGCCTCGAGCTCAGCGGCCCGCTGATCTAGTGCGGCCCTCTCGGCGCGGGCGCCTTCCAGATTGCGGCGCGCCTGCTCCTCCCGCGCTGCCTCGCGGAGGAACAGGCTGTCCGCCAGCCGCTGCGCCGCGGCCTCGGCCTCCTCGAGAGCTCGCCCCCGCTCGGTGAGCGCGTCCTCGCGGAGGCGGAGTGCGGACTCCTCTTCGGCGCAGGCGGCCTCGTGCGCCGCCAGTGTTGCCTCCCGGGTGGCGACGGCGGCCTCGCGGTCCGCCAGGTCTCTCTCCTTCGCGTCCAAGGCGCGGGCGCGCTCATCCGGCGCCGTGGCGCGAGCCTCAAGGGCCTCTTCGCGCTGCCGGGACGCCGCCTCGTTCTCCGCCGCCCGCCGTTCCCAAGCAGCGGCGGCGTCAAGGACTCCCTGGGCGGCGTCGAGCTTCTGCTCTAGCTCCGCAGCCCGGCTCCCGTATTGGAGGCGGAGGTCGTCCCGCGCCTCGTCGAGCACGGCGGTGGCGATGAGGGCAGTCTCCCGCTCCTCCTCCACCTCCCTGGCGATCTCCGCCAGGTCCCTACGACGGGCCTCGAGCTGTGAGGCGTGCCGGCGGTGTGCCTTGCGGCCCGCCTCCACCATGGCCTCCACCGAGCGCCGCCCCTCCTCGACGCGCGCCCACTCCGCGTCGAGCTCCGCCCTCTCCGCCTGCACGGCCTCCATATGGGCACTTAACCCGTCCAGCACCATGCTGTTCACGGCGGCCAAGGCCTGCAGGAGGGGCTCCACGCTCAGTGGGGCAGCGGAAGGCCGAGGGGAGAGCCGCCTCGGTGTGGGTGCCACGCGGCTCGGCCCACCGATCGACGTGCCGGACTCGGGGGCGTCCCCCGAAGCTGGCTCGTCCCAAGCGTCGCCCGAGGGGTCGGGCCCGAGCGGCGCGCCCGCGGCCTCATCGTGGGTGGCCTCGGAAGTCGTCGTCGCCTCGGGCGGAGTCGGGTCGGGGGTTTGGCAGGCCGCCTGACGTGCGCGCGCCGCCTCTGCCTCCCGGACGGACTCCCCGGCCCAGCGGAGTCTGGCCTCCTCCCGAGCGGCCTCCTCAGCCTGGCGAACCCGGACGGCCTCCTGGGTAGCCTCCTCGGCTTCCCGGAGGCGGTCCGCGGCTTCTCGCCGGTCAGCTTCCCGCCTCCGGGCCTCCGCGGTCGCCGTCTCCTCGGCCTCAGACCGGCCGGACTTGGAATGGCGGGGGGGGGGGGGGGGGGGGGCGCGACGGGATCTCGCTGAGGCAGAAGAAAAACCAGAAGACAAAAAGAAACGGGTGAGTGAAAACTCGCCTTGGGAGATGGGAGAATGAATACGGCCGCGGTGGGCGCGGGGACGAACCTGCGGGGAAGTCGGCTAAACGACCACCTCGGGGGCGAGATGAGGTTCCCCCGGCATGGCACGATCCACCCCGTCTTGCGGGGCCGTTTCTTCTTTCGCTCCCCCTCGGGCTGCGGCGTCGGCACGGCACCCTCCGGGCGCCTGCTGCTGGCATGCACCGCCCCGCCCCCTCGGGGAGGAGATGGGAGAGGGGTACCCTCCTGCTTCCTCTTCCCCCGGGCGTCGGCAGGGCGGCTGCCCCCCGGGCCCCCGTCGCGGGGCCCAGAAGCACGACCCCCTCCCGGGGTAGATTGTTCCCCCCTGCGGCTCCCGCCCACGCCATCGTGGCCTCGGGGGGCCCGCTCCCCCGACGCCCCGACCACCTGCATGATGGCCAGGATCTTGGCGCGCTCTGGATCGTAGCAGAGGGGGAGGACCCCTTGGGGGATGAGGGATGCCTCCACGGAGCTGAGATTCAGCACCCGTTGGACCACCATCCTGAAGTCCTCAGGGTCCCAGTCCCATTTGCGCCCCTGGTGGGTCCTCACGTAGTCCTCGGGCCCGGTGTACTCCTAGGCGCCCCGGGCGCGCCGCTGGAGCGGCGCGATTCGGCGACGAAGGTAGTCGCCGAACACCATGGACCCCGTGAGCCCCTGGGATCGCAGACCCGCCAGGCGGTCAAGAACGGCGTTGTAGCCGTCTCCCAGATCTACCGCCGCCCGCCAGCTGGAGGCCTGCGCCGGGGGCTGGCTCAGAAGTCGGAGGCGCGCTTCGTCGGCGAGGGGGGTGTAGAACCAATCGCTCTTCCAGTCGTCCCACTTTTTGCGGAGGACGCAGGGAATGTAGCGGTTCAGCACCTGCCCCCGCGGCTGGAAGTTGCAGCCACCGACTACCGTCGGCGGCGACACCGGCTGTACGGTGAAGAACCACCGGAACAGCCGGAGAGATGGGCGCACCCCGATAAACATCTCGCACAGGTGCGCGAAGATGGCCAACGTCATTATCGCGTTGGGGGTGAGGTGCGCCATCTGGAGATCATAAAACTCCAGAATATCCATGAAAAAAATAGAGAATGGCGGGACCAGCCCCGCCATTGCGAAAGAGAGGAAGAAGACGGACCGCCCCGGGTAGTGTGGCGCCGGGCGTCCCTCGCCCAGCGCGACCACCTCCCGGCCGGTGGCAGATTCCGGCATGAATCGGCGCGGTAGCCCGGCCTGCCTCTCGCTCACGATGCGGGAAGGCGGCAGCACGCTACCATCGAGCGGTGCGGAGCCCCGTGCCATGACGCCGGCGGAGGAGGAGCTTGAGAGCGAGCGAGTGCGGCAAGGGTAGGGCACAGGAAACGAAGAGTTAGAGCGCAAGTGGCGAAGGCAAGGGGAAGAGTGGCGAGAGGAAAGAAACGAATCCCTTCCTCGGCGTCTTTACACCCTTGCCAACGCTATGCCCGGCTCCTCGCTTCCCGCGCCCACTACCTCGCCCCCTCGTTTCTCGCGCCCACGCCTCCACTAACCCCACTCGCCCGTTTGCGGCGCACGCGGCAGATGTGCGGCCATGGCGGTTGAGATGGGGCAGATCGTGCGCGCATTAACTACGCTCGCTAACCGTGAAAAGCGCCATCATCATGTCTCCAGGCGAAACGAACCGGCTCGTCCCGATTCGCGCGCTGCTCGAGTAATGTAGCGGTCTTAAAGAGGCCGCTCATTATCGTCGGTCGTTTTTCCCTTGCCGATGCGCGCGATTTGTGACTGCTGGGTTTCTGCCCGCCTGTAGGGCCCGGCCCCACCTGTCACCGGGCCTAAGGAGTGGCGTCACGCCCGAGCGCTTCCCTCGAGGGGGCGATCGCCCTGGCGTAACGCCGGGGGCTACTGTCGGTGACATGGGGCCGGGGGTATCGTGACTAGAGGCTTGGGTAGCCGCGGTCACCCACGTGGCCTGACCCCCTCGGGGGTAGGGGGGGTCGGTCCCGAGGGTGACGTGGCCACCCCTCCCTCTGTCTCCCCGAGGGGTCGGGCCACTCCCGTTTCGGCCCCGAGGGCTGGGGCGCCCCTGTTTCGGCCCCGAGGGCTGGGGCGCCCCGACCCCCTGTGGTTTTGGCGCCACGTGTGTGGGTTAGGTGAGCACAGCGGGGCTCACCTAACCGCATTTATAGCAGGTTGGACGAGCGCGCCACGCCGCATTTAATGCGGCGCAGCGCACGCTTATCCGGTCCGTGACCGGTCGCGGTGTGTGACCGGTCACAGACCGGTCAGATCGCGTGTTAGGTGGCAACAGGCGGCCTGTCACACGCCTCGCCCCGTCCCGTCGGAATGATGAGAGCTTCCTGGCTCTCGTCCCTAGCCGGAGCCGGCGTGCTAACTCCTGGAGTTGGTATGTCAGTCTCGGTCAGATCCATTCCAGGCTTCAGCGCAAGTATGGCAAGGAAGTCGCTGGCCATTAAATGAAGGTTGAAATGGGCGTCCACCGGGAAAGCGGGCGAGCGGGGCAGGAGGCGTGTGCTCTGCTTGTCAGAGGTCACTTCCGGCTGTAGACTAGCCCTCATTGTAAAAAGCATGTTTCCCTTCTTAGGCAGCTAGAGGCCCATGTGGTGACCCCTGACCAGATAAAAATGAGGCCCAGGCCTAGGAGAAAGGGGGTTGGGACTCTGGGGAAGGGGTTCTAGAGCCTGAACTCACTCTCGCTCTCCGGGTCTCTGTATTCCTTCACGCACAGATCCACCAGAACACAGGAGTAGGGTGTTACGCTTCTCAGCGGCCCGAACCTGTCTACGTCGCCCGTGTCTTGTGCACTTCCTCTCCCGTTGACGTTCCTCAGATCGAGGGCGAAGAACCTAACTTAGCGCCCCCGGCCGAAACGGCAAAGGGGGGCCTGCGCGGTCTCCCGGTGAGGAGCCCCACGCTCCGTCATGGTGTCTACCACTTATCTTTAACATTTAGTTAAAATAAATTCAAATGCCAATTCAACAATTTTATTTTCTTCAAATGAAATTTAATTTATATTAGCCTAAATAAAATTAAAAATTTTCATGAAATATGTTGTGCCTTATATTATGAGATGGAGTTTTTTTAAGTAGCATACATTATAACTAAAAGTTGATATATATCTGGTGAGTCTTGAATTTTATATAGAACTTAATACAGTAATTTTCAGGGTTACCAGTTTCTTTGGTTTCATATACTAATTTGTTATGCATGAATTAGGGAAAGCTCTGAAATGATCCTTGCCAAATTATATGTGCACCATGATTTATTTCACTTCAAAAATATATTTAAATTTCGATAAGCTTTGAATTTACTGGAATACAAGAAATGCATTATCCTAAAAATAATTCCAATTAACCAATCCGATTGCTTTGAGTATCTATTTGTTTATTTTATATGTTAACTAATTAACAATGGCTGCGATATTTTGGGAGCGACAGTCTCTAGCATTACTCATTACAATGCAAAGCAATAGTAGCCATCGACTAATATTAGCCAGTTCTATTTTATTAGAGTTGGAAAAATTCCTATGGTCATTATCGCTCGCATGACGCAGCCTGCAGTGATCTGCATATATAAGCATGACACTTCTGCCTCCAGACAACAATCATCAGTAACAGAAAAACTAGAGACAAGAATCAACAGTTCAACACAAAAAGAAAAAAAACAACAAACAATGGAGTCATCACGCAAGTTCTTCCCGGCCATTGCTGTCCTCCTCCTGCTTGTTATCAACACAGGTACAATAGGAGACAATTAATATATACATAATGATTTATTCTGAGTAGAATTGTCTTTGGGCTATCTTTTATTACCAATGTACATTTCACTTTGTATCATCCTTTATCCAATATTTTTCCTTAGTTAAAGGTGGTATAAAAGCTAGCAAAACTTCGGTAATAAAACATAGTCCAAAGTAAAGTTTACTCTCTTTTTTATCATCTGTACTATGTGCGTGGGATCTAGTTAGTATTCAAGCAGTTATTTCCTTTTTTAACGACCAACACCGGACGGTGTGATATTCAGGCAGTTATTTTCGATAGCGGACAAAGAGATCAACCATCAATATTGGGAAATTAATTCAGTGGTGTTAATTAATGTATGGAATATATATATATTTTTTGTGATGATCATATCGATCAGAGATGGCGCCAGCGCAGGCGAGGGAATGCGAGACGGAAAGCAGCAAGTTCAGCGGGATGTGCATGATACAAGCCAACTGCGACCACATCTGCATGGGCGGCGACGACTGCAGGGGATTCCGTCGCCGCTGCATGTGCAGGACCCAATGCTAAGCTAGGCGCCCAACTTAATTATAATTAACGAACGCCTTTCATATACATCACCAGCCGATCGATCGATCGAAATGGCGACCAATCGTCGTTGGATCGTCGCTGCATGCCGCAAGGATGAATCAGTTTTGTTAGGAAACGATGAGCGAACAAACGATAAAAAATAATAGATCAATCACAGAAGACACGAGATTTAACGTGGAACACCCTCCTAAAACAGGAGAGAAAAAACCACGGGCACCAGCCAGCAAAATATCTTCACTATATCTGGAGTGAGATTACAACGCCGCACGGCGGCTTACAAGAGGTATATATATGGTGGAACCCTAAAAGGGATGATGATCCGTTTCGCGGTGGCTCCGCCCCCGCACCCCAAGCGTCCCTGCTATGCTCCGGCCCAAGCCTCCCGGCGACGGGCCTCCGCTCCACTACGGCAGAAGCTGGCCTTTATTAAGTGCAAATGAATTTGGATCACAACTCAACAAACTCCACCTTGAGACAAATTCCTTCTTGTAGTATGAAACAATCCTTCACCCTGAACACAACAAAGACAAAAAAACACTTTCGGCGCCAAATAGCCTCTTGGCCTAAACCACTATACCATCTAAGCTTGAGCAAAGCTCAAACTTAGCAACATGAACAGATTTTATCATCATATCAGCAGGATTATCATGAGTACTTATCTTACATACCTTTGGCTTACCTTGCGCGACTACATCGCGAACATAATGGTACTTGATATCAATGTACTTTGTCCTCATAAAACATCTGATCTTTAGTAAGGCATATAGCACTTTGACTGTCACAAAACAAGTTAATGCAAGAATCAACTCCACAAAACTCAGCAAACAATCCTTTCAACCAAACTGATTCTTCACATGCTTCAACAATAGCCATGTATTCTGCTTCAGTGGTAGACTGGGCAACAACAGGCTATAATGTTGCCTTCCAACTCATAGCACAACTACCAATGGTAAACACATAACCTGTGAATGACCTTCTCTTATCCAAATTTGCAGCAAAATCAGAATCCACATATCCAACAAGCCCCTTATCAGTCCTGCCAAACTTCGAGCAAGCATCAGTTGTGCCTCTGAGGTACCTGAAAAACCACTGAACAGCTTTCCAGTGTTCTTTACCAGGATTAGCCATGTATCTACTAACTAAACTCATAGCATGAGATAAATCGGGACGGGAGCAAATCATGGCATACATCAAAGAACCAACAGCACTAGAATATGGAACTCTAGACATGTATCCTACATCCTCATCAGTACTAGCACATTGTAAAGCTGATAATTTAAAATGAGCTGCAATAGGAGTACTAATAGGCTTTGCATCATGCATGTTAAAATGCTCAAGAACCTTCTTAATGTAGCTTTGCTGACTAAGAAATAACAAACCAAAATTTATGTCTCTAGTGATTTCCATACCTAGAATTTTCTTAGCAGCACCAAGATCCTTCATATCAAACTCACTACTCAACTGTTTCTTCAATGTAGTGATTTGTTCCTTGCTCTTGGCAGCAATCAGCATATCATCAACATATAATAGCAAGTATATAGGTGATCCATTAACAAATTTAATATACACACAGCTATCAAATTCAGACCACTTAAAGCCATGTGACAACATAAATGAATCAAACCTTTTATACCATTGACGAGGAGACTGTTTCAAACCATACAAAGATCTTTTCAACTTGCAAACATAATCCTCCTTACCAGGTACTATGAACCCTTCTGGCTGGTCCATGTATATCTCGTCCTCAAGCTCTCCATGTAAAAATGTTGTCTTCACATCTAACTGCTTAAGCTCAAGATCATCCATAGCAACAATACTGAAGAATGTGCGAATTGAACTATGCTTTACAACTGGAGAGAACACATCATTATAATCAACACCAGCAATTTGACTGAAACCTTTTGCTACTAACCTTGCCTTAAACCTCGGAGGCTCGCTAGGAGATAAACCCTCCTTTCTCTTGAAGATCCATTTACAATGAACAGGTTTCTTCTGTTTTGGCAAGTGCACAAGCTTCCATGTGCCATTCTTCTCAAGAGACTGCATCTCCTCCTGCATAGCTGAGATCCAGTTCTCACGGTCTCCAGAAACAACAGCTTCAGTGTATGTGGCTGGCTCAAGAGTATTCTCCACTTGTTCAACACAACTAAAAGCATAATAAACCATATCACATTCCTCAATAAGGCGAATTGGAGCTCCACAACTCCTTTTTGTTCTGCGATGTGCAATAGGTTGATCTTGTGGCTGCAAAACAGGAGGTGAGTGCTGAACAGTATCATTAACATCATTACTAACAATTTCAGTTTCCTGATCATCCACGTGCTCCACCTGCACGCTAACATATTGCTGCTCCTCATCTGAACCACCTGGTATGATGTCACGCCCAGAAATTCCCGAATAGAATTCCAAGCAGAATGTGCATTAAAATCCCCGTCCAGGACCGGCCGGGGTACACAAACGACAATGTTGACATTCAGATCCACGTCTTACAAACATCATAAAAGTCTTACATAAATGCAGCGGAAAAAGGAAGACAACAGGAGCTAAGCCTTGACTAGAACTGCAGCGGGAACACCACTCCACAGGCACCCTCGATGGCACGGACGAAGCCTACTCCTCGGAGAAACCTCCATCTGACACATACCCGAACTCTGGGGTTGGGAAAAAAAATAGAGCAAGACTGAGTACTACCCACTGTACTCAGCAAGTCATATCGGAATAGGGGTATGATGCAGGGAATTATCAAAGGAGAGCTAGAGTGGTTCATTTGCATAAAGCGAGCATTTATAAACAGAAGTTGAAAGATTTAAACAGTTGTAATAATTAATTATTATTAACTAACCACTGTCCAACGCTATCCCACGTTGCGACAGGCCCAACCATCCACCTAAACTATCCAAATTCAAAAGATTACACTAGGGTGAGACTAATCACGGTGAATCTGGTTGACCGCCCATAACCGCGGGCACGGCTACTCGAATAGTTTTACTCTGATCAGAGGTGTACAACTGTACCCACAAGACACAGCCCCACGACACGTTTCCGTGCGCCGACATGCCACCACGACATACCGGAAAGAGGCCGTGACAGGACCGTTCGCATAACCCCCTCTAACCAAGCACACCACACCTCAGGTTTCACCCCCACTCCTCGCAAGGCAGCGGGCAGTCCCCTCTCGTGCCTAGGTGAATCCGGAAGCCGCATAGGCCGTCGCAGGGCCCATCCAAACTCCATCATGCCCACCCTTGCCTGGATGCGTCGGCTAGAGGAAAGCTACACTACAAGCCCAGCCGTTGCCCACGCTGGCTTGTGGTAAGTACGATAAGTTCTTCCAGGGCATCTCGCGAACCGGTCCTTAACTGCCATGGTGCGACCAGCAAAACCATGCACCCACAGCCCACCATGTGATTTATTTTAATTAACCAACACCAAAGCGGTGGCACTATTCCAACAGTACCATTAGAACCAAAAGTCTAAACATTAATAGGATTCTCCCCATTGTGCACTAGTTGAACTAAGCATGGCTAAGCAATCCCTAGTCCAATCTCTAGTCATGTTATAACCCCAAGCTGACAAAGGGACATGGTACAACAATAGCATGGCTATGACAATAGGTAAACACCCCATAGTAACATTATAAAACAATGCAATATTTGAAGGAAAACAATAGAGCATTTGCAATATAGGATCAACATGTTCAAGTGACAAGCATGACTTGCCTTGCTCTGCTGCTAGAGGAACCTCGGCGACTATTTCGAACTACACCGGAGCGTCGGAAGAACCGGAATCTAGCGACATACAAGGCAAACATTGCAAACAGGCTATAAGACTACTGAAACAGAGAACAAAACCATTTTTAATGGATTCTACACATTTTTCTTGATTTACTGAGACCTGAATGGGCTTAAACGGAGCTCGGATGAATTAGATATGAATTTTAGAAGATTCACTGTGTTTATTACTATAACAAAAAGTCCTTAAATCATTTATTGTGCAATAAATCCCAGGGCTGGCGTCAGCACGGGAGGGGGAGGAGGCGCGGCGCCGACATGCGGGGCCCACCGGTCAGCGGCTCGGGAGAGGGAGGAAAGGGGCGCCGGCGAGCGGGCCCACTCGGCAGCGACTCAAGGGGGGAACGGTTCACTGTGGACCGGGACCACGCGGGTGGTCCACCGCCGGTCCACGGGACCGACGGCCCAGATCGCCCCCGGGGTTGATCGGACGGGCGGCGGCGACCCGGCTCGGCTTGGCTCAAGGCCGGCCCGTCGGCCACGGCGATGGCGACGGCGCGCGCGTGCGAACGCGTTGCCGGCGACGGCAACTGGCGGCGGAGGCGACGGGGCAAAGGCGACACGAAGGCGGCGGCGCTAAGTGGCGGCTAGGAAGGAGAGGGAGGGGAATAGATGTTTTAGAAGGCCTCACCCAAATAACCAACACAAGGCCCCTTTATATGGGACGGCGACGGCAAGCCACGGGAGGACGACGGCAACCGGCGGACGGGCTTCCGGGGTGCCCTAAGGAAGGGAGAGAGAGAGATTAGAGAGAGGGAGATGAACCACGGCGACCGGCATTCATGGCCGAAGGCGGCGGTAGAGGTTGAACTCACCGGAGCGCGAGGGAATGCGAATTCCGGCGACGAAACTCGACGGGGAAGGGGCGGCCGGGGTGGAGCTTAGCCTCGCGAACCCGACGGCGGCGACGGCGCGGTGCGGCGGCGAGCCTAGCGGCGGCTTGCGGCGGCCGGAGTGACGGGAAAGGCGGCGGCGGGTGGATGCACGGTGCGGGAGTGATGGAGAGCTCGGGAGAGTTCGGCGAAATGGGGAAAAAGAGAGAGGGGGTGGTGTCGGAGCTTAAATAGGGAGAGAGGGGGCCGGACGTGGCCGGGAGAGGCGGGAATTGCCGGCCAACGTGGGGAAGTGGGGGAGGAGAGAGAGGCGGTATTCGAAAATCGAATCCCGACCATCTCGGGCCGGGCGCGGGCGGGAGAGAGAGGGGAGTGGGCGCGAGGGACTCGGCGCACGTGC